ATTATAAGCCCTTAAATGAACTGTAGATGAAAAGGGCAATAAATATGTGCCAGAGTTAGTGATACAATGATATAATGGAATGATAAAGGTTGAGAAACCTGGGTTCCCACTGGGCTCTATGATTTGGGGTGAGTCACCTAACCTCTCTTAATTACCTCATCTGTAAAATGTGGAGGATGGACTGATAGGCTTCAGTGGTTCTCCAAGCTCTAAGTATTATAAGATTTTTTGACTTTAACCACTGTGGTAGGCAGAACTATGTCCCACCCCCACCTCAAGAATGTCTACATCCTAATCCCCAGGACTTGTGAATATGTTATGTTATATGGCAAGGGGGAATTAAGGCTGCTAATAAGCTACCTTAAAATAAGTAGATTATTCTGAATTACCTATTTGGGCCCAATGAAATCACAAGGGTACTTAAAATGCAGAAGATGGAGGCAGAAGAGTGAGTGTGAGAGTGACGCTATGTGAGAAGGACTTCACTGACCATTACTGGATTTGGACATGGATGGGGAAACAATGGAAACAGTGAGAGACTTTTATTTTTGGGGGCTCCAAAATCACTGCAGATGGTGATTGCAGCCATGAAATTAAGAGACGCTTGCTCCTTGGAAGAAAAACTATGACCACCAATATAGACAGCATATTAAAAAGCAGAGATATTACTTTGCCAACAAAGGTCCGTCTGGTCAAAGCAATGGTTTTTCCAGTAGTCTTATATGGATGTGAGAGCTGGACTATAAAGAAAGCTGAGTGCCGAAGAATTGATGCTTTTGAACTGTGGTGTTGGAGAAGACTCTTGAGAGTCTTCAAGGAGACCCAACCAGTTAATCCTAAAGGAAATCAGTCCTGAATATTCACTGGAAGGACTGATGCTGAAGCTGAAACTCCAATACTTTGGCTACCTGATGCGAAGAACTAACTCATTGGAAAAGACCCTGATGCTGGGCAAGATTGAAGGCAGGAGGAGAAAGGGACAACAGAGGATGAGATGGTTGGATGGCATCACCGACTCAATGGACATAAGTTTGGGTAAACTCCGGGAGTTGGTGATGGGCAGGAAAGCCTGGTGTGCTGCAGTCCATGGGGTCGCAAAGAGTCAGACATGACTTAGTGACTGAACTGAACTGACTTGATATTCTAAACTAGCTTCCCTATTTTATAGATAAGGAGACAGACTCAGATTATGAATTTGCCTAAAGTCACACAGCTAGTAAGTAGCAGAAATAGGTTTACACCGAACCAGAAATAGGTTTACACCGAACTCTCTTGTGACTTTAGGGTCAGTGCTCTTAAAAGGCCACATGTATTTCTTCTCTATGTTACTCAAATACCAGGCCTCTGGGAAATGAGGCTCAGAAGTGGTAAAGAGAATGGAAAACTTTATCTATCTGCCTAGGTGTGGATGTACAGAAAGTCAGAGGCCCTATGTTGAGTCCTGACTCCACTAGAAGCCACCTGTGTGCCCTTAAGAAAGTCACTGAGTCTCTCTGAGCCTCAGGTTTTTTATATGTATGAAGGATGGTGAGAATTTCTTTACTAAACTCCTCACAGGACTACAGTGATGATTTCAAGAAAGTACGTGAGGGTGCATGATAAATGGCAAAGTCCACAGGGCAGGCAGAGGTGCCTGGATGTCATGCAGGTGTATCTTTTCTTGGTGACTGAGAGTCTCAATGTCCTCTGCATATAGGCTGGGCATGCCTCTCTGATGGCTTGTTCCAAAGAAGACATTTAAAAATAAGTGGGTTTTTTTTTTCTTTTTGGAGGGGAAATATATTTTCCATTACCTTTATTTGGAAATTACCAAATAAAGTGGAGCATAACCTTTCTTTCTTTTCTAAAATTCTGAGTGACTGAGCCAGTCGCTGAATTGAAGAGGCCATAAGCCAGAATATGAGCAGCCTCTAGAAGCGGCAAGAAAACAGATTTCCCTTAGAGCCTCCAGAAAGGAATGCAGTTTTACAAAAGACTTGATTTTAGCCCAGTTAGACCTGTATCAGACTTCTGGACTTTCAGAATTATCAGTATTCAGTTTGTATTGTTTAAGTTATTAGGTTTTTGGTAATTTGTATGGAAGGGATAGAAAAATAATACAAGCAAAGTTGGGCCCAAGTTTATTACAGATGCAGGCTTTTAAATAAAAATCCTATACTGAGGTATTCTGTAAAGATCTTTAGAGGTAGCAATAATCAGAAACCATGGGAAGCTTGTTAGAAAAATTGTGGGAGAGTGTATGTGTATGTGCATGTGCATGCTCGCGCTAAGTCACTTGAGTCGTGTCAGACATTTTGTGACCCCATGGACTATAGCTGGCAGGCTTCTCTGTCCATGGGCTTCTCCATCCATGGGCTTCTCCAGGCAAGAATACTGGACTGGGTTGCCATGCCCTCCTCCAGAGGATCTTCCTGACCCAGGGGCTGAACCCTCATCTCTTACATCTCTTGCACTGGAAGGCAGGTTCTTTACCACCAGCACCACCTGGGAAATTTACTAGTGATTCATGTGAAGACTAGAAATCTGGGTATCTTATAAAGAAAAGAAAACGTTAAGAGAAGAGAGATCAAAGATTTTCCACAATGTAAGAGTTTCTTCTCTGAATCTCACTGTACTCACCTATAAGTACAATGAAGGACGGGGATAAATAATCTCTAAATTTCTCTAGCTCTGAAATAAGCTTTTAATTCCTGACAGATGCTAACATGGGCATTTGAGACCCTCCCCTCCCCAAAGTTTGAAGACTATTCATTTTAGAAAGTAACTATAATTATGTTTAATAGTCAAGCTTCACAGAAAGCTCTACTTAGTTTAATAAGGAGGGGGCTCTGAATTCTAACCCTGATATTCTTATTCAGGTTGAGTGCATGTGGAAATTGTTCAGCTTTCCTTCTCTTCTGTTACTTCCCCTATAGAAGTATGGTAAAATTTTAGCTAGATGGATTTTCTAAAGAATGAATTATTTCAGATGTCTCAAGGTTTAGTCCTTTGTGTACTAACTACATTTTAAATATATTTGATGGAACTATATCTAAAGTAAAACTCATGCCCCATTTTTATATACAATTTAATGATTACCATATTCCCTTCTCTTGAAGAGTCATGACTAATAACATCAATCACTAGAGTGAGCTGTCGGACAGCAATGCTCTAGACAGCAGTTGGCAAACTATGGCCTGCAGGCTGTTTGTAAGGTGTAGTTTTTTATATTCTGTACATGTTAAAAATAAGGTGCGGGGGGGGGCTGGCTATGTGACCTTAGACCCTATGTGGCTCAAAAAGTCTAAAATAAATATTATCTGCTTCTTTGCAGAAAGGTTTGCTGACTCCAGTTCTAGAGAAAGATGTGTAGGCCTCTTCATCAAATGTCCAAAACTAGACTGAACTTTGTTATGTCACTAAACAAAGCACATTCATCTTGGCACAAGGTAGCTCAAGTATTCGTGGAAAAATAAAGGCTCTGGGCAGTTTTTTTTTCTCTTTTTTTGGCTGAGCTGCACAACTTGTGGGATGTTTAGTTCCTGAACAAGGACTCCAACCCCAGGCCCACATCAGTGAAAGTGCAAGAGTTCTGTCCACTGGAGTGCCAGGGAATTCTCCAGGATCTTGGCCATTTAAAATCCTTCTGTTGCTTGTTACACGCTCCTCACTTTCAGGGATTTTTTGTAATTTCTACCTGCCCCTTGCAGTCTCTCCCCCTGTCTAATCTCAGTCTGGAAATTTGATAACCTAGTTTATAAACATTATAAACAATGGAAGATTTAGTCAGTTATGTGAAGACCCTAAAACTAGTTTTTAAGTAGATCACAGGTGGTTTAGTGCAGAGATTTGGTGACTAATTTTGCTGGTCCCAAGGTCTTTTTATTTATTTTTAGGTTCTCAGCTGTCCTTTGAAAAGGCAAGGTGGCAGGACAGATAAGGTCTTACTGTAGTGTGATCATTTTTTATTTTTACAATATAAAAATAGCAGTATATCTGAAAAGCCACTCACCAAAAAATTAAACTCAAGCAATCTAAATGGTAGGATTTTCTTGGAACATGTTTTTTTTCCTTTAAAATAAATAAACATTACTTTTACAATAAAAAAGGCGATTTCACTTAAAAGAAAAGATATCTTGGAAAGATGTCTCCATCCAATCTCACTGCCCTAACTCAACTATTTTCATCTAGTATATTTTGTTTATTCAATCACTTTTTAAAATGGTTGTATATACTGGGTTTTTAACTTGATTCACATTTGGTTTGCCATAGGTAACCTATGGTTACTCTAACACTGAAAAATAAGCTGTAAATATGAAATGCAAGAAAGCTGACAATCAATATGGTGAAAGATGACCGTCTAAAATTTTGGCCTCGGCTCCACCCATTTTCTACACATTCACACGTATAATACCCAACCTGGATAGTGTTACAGCTCAAAACACTTTGCTCCATTTAGTGTTGAAAACAACCCTGTTAAGTGGGCACATTCTCAGAGGTAAAATGACTCGGCTAAAGTCACTCGGCTAGCCAGGGAACAGGTTTAGCATCCTAGTCAAGAAAACAGGAGCAGGTCTTTGGAGGCGCTGCTGGTTAAAGGAGAGCTTTCACTACACGCTGGCTTTTAAGTTCCCTCATCTGACAATGACCTTTACAAACTCAAACCTGCCTCTTCTACCCATCGAGGCACGCGCAGCGGGCTGGGGAAATCTGTGAGTTAGTCGCTCAGTTGTGTCTGAGTCTTTGTGACCCCATAGACCGTAGCTCGCCAGGCTCCTCTGTCTATGCAATTCTCCAGGCAGAATACTGGAGTGGGTAGCCATTCCTTTCTCCTGGGGATCTTCCCGATCAAGGGATCGAATCCGGGTCTCCCGCACTGCGGGCAGATTCTTTACAGACTGAGTAGCTCACATCCAAAGTCAACACTCCATCCCCAAAGCCCTAGGGCCAAGGCAGAGAGAAGAGAGCACAGTCCGCCCCTCGCTGGAGGCGCAGCCTCTGCACGCTGGCCCCGAACTAACCTGACCAGGTCGGTCATGCAGGAGCCCACCACCACCACCGCCACCGCCGCCTCCGCCACCTTCTCCTGCCACTGCCTCCCAGGGTCCCCAGACGCGGCCATTGCTCAGAGTCGGCAGTGTCCAAACTGGAGGCTGCCCTTTAACCTTTGCCCCACCCCGTAACCAGAGACGCTGCTCCCACTTTCCCTAACGACGTGGGCCTTCCGGACGCCCGGTAGGTCGCCCACCTGGATGCCCGAAATAACCCCATTCACCAACTGTCCCTAGTTCCCCCAGGAATTGTCTTCCTGCACAGCCTCTCGCAGCAGAGGCATCCTACGAGTTCCAGACTCCGCGCAGCTCGCCGCGCACGAGGTAGGCGCGGAGGCAGGAACTTTCAGGCACTCGGGGGACGCCCTTCCGAGCGCCCGGCCTGGCGCGGCCGGGGACGCGCACGCCGCCCGGCTCCAGGGCCGCCGAGGGGGCGGGGCGGGGCGGGACGTCCGGGGACGCGCACGCATCCGGCCCGCGGTGCGCGCGCAGGTTGGTGCGTCGGTCGGGGGCGCGCTCGGGTAACCTGTACCCCACGTAGTCGCCGGTTACCGATCCGACTTAAGTTCCAGGTACCTGGACTGGGGCTGGTGCGGGGAGGTTGGATCCCGAGTTGCACAGGTGGCGCTGAGGACCGTGGTTTTACATATGCCCAGGGCTCGCCTTCTCTTCCTATAGAGAAGGCCCCTGTCCCAAAGATGCCCTACTCATTCCCATCACGCTGGTCCCCTCAAGAACGAGCCCCCAAGGCCAGAGGCTGCTCTCTCTCCACACCTAGCCCGCCCCCGGTCCCTGATTAAGCTCAAGACTCTTTGCTTTTTCCTTCCTGATTAGGGGATCATACAGTTTGGGAGAAGGTGTCCCCTTTTAGAGCGGTGTGGTCATTCTTTGGGTTCGAGCTGATTGTTTTTCTTGAATGCTGCCCCTTGGAGAAATTACTTCCCTTGTGTACTTCCCTCGCGCGCCGTATGACGTCGACGTGACGCAGCAGGACGCCACCCCTTTCCGTTCCATGACGTAAGCTGGGCACGTGTTTCCGTGTTTGTCATCCCATCTTAATTGCGAGAAGGTAGATGATGCTTTAGACGTGTTTGTATTCCCCAGACTGCCCATCGAAGTACCTCATGTGACCCTATCTTGAGGCAGCAAAGCTCTGTAAATTGTAAAGCTCTGTAAATTGTATTTCTGCATTTCCTTCTGTATATTACACGTCAAAATCAGGAAATAGAAATTTCGCAACTAGCTTTCAAGGGAAATGGGCCACAGTAAATTTTTGCCTATCTGGGATCGATTATTGTGCTTTTTTGTGTAAAAAATACTACTGGGAGATCATCCCCCATCTATGTACCCCGCTCAGAAGCCAAAGAACTGTCATTTTTAGCTATTCGGTGACCTCCGAATTTGGAGTCAGGTCCCCCCCCCCCCCCCGCCCCACCCCCGCCCTTGTCTAGAGAAGTCACAGCAGCTGTAGCTTGTAACATTTTAATGCTGCATAAAATCTTGCACTGTCAAAAGATTGTATTATGGCTGTTCAGGAAACAAAGACAAATTCATTCCTTCAGGTGTCATTCTAAGGTCATGACAGTTGCTGAATTGGATGGGTTGTTGTCACCTTAAGTATAGTTTGCTTTCTGGAGCAGGTTTGTTCCCCCTAGCATTTTACCTAGTGAATCACTTAGGCCAGCTTCAGCAGTAGGCCAACATTAGTCTAATTTGTTTCTAGTTGTCAAGCAACCGTTAGTCTAAATTCATGACTTTTTTGTTCATTTTTCTAGATGTATGCTTTAAAAAAAACAAATTCACTTTGATGCTTTTCTCTTTGGTGTTTATTTGAGAAGAAGATAGGTATAGTGGACTTTGAGGGAGATCTGGATTTGAATTCCAATGCTTCTGCTTGCTAGGTTTGTGACTTTGAGTGAGTTACTTAGTCTTGCTCAACATTAGTTTTCTTATCTTTGAAATGGGAACAATAATATTAAACAGAGGATGAGGTAGTTGTTGAGAAGTAAATGAAATTGAAGCTAGAGATGGGTAATATAGTGCCTGATATTCAGTAGATTTTGAGAATGTATTGGTTCTGTTTCCGTTTTTCATAGAAATGAGAGATGAAATAATAATAGGTATTGTGGGAAAATACATAGAAGAATAATTTTGTAGTGTAGGTAAGGTCCTTTTGCTTTTTTCCAAAATGAGTATTTGTTTTGCATATGATCTAGATAAGCATCCTTTCAAGAACTGTGACATCAGTGAGCAGAAATAAAAGTGGAAATGTTGCAGAAATAGGAAAAAAATAGACTTCAAAGTGATAATATGGTCTAGTATACTGTTCAAAGACAAATTATAAAAGTTATCTATGTCATCTGTAAAATGGGAATTCTAATATATGGCTTACCATCCAGAATTGTGGAGGTCAAGTGCACTAATGTTTATGGAAGCTCTTTATAAGTGATAAAATATTATAAATGTGCTTGATTTTTATGACTGATAATACAGTGCATTAGATGTTTATTCTTATTTTGTGATGACATATTCGAATGGTGGTGGGAAGCCATCTGTTAAGTGGTTAGAGGAGGACCTTGTTTTATATTTGTAGAAAAGATGATTTGAATACTAAAGTATCAAGCTTTTTCTACTTCAGAGGTACTTTTGGGTGTCAGCAGTATGTAGGGTCACAGTGGGTTTTTTTTTGTTATTATTTGTTTTTATGATTGTTATTTATTTTTTTGCCCTTTATTACTACTCTGAAATGTTTAAAATGGGTACTAGTTTTCAGCATTTAGCAGGGAGCTGTAAATCCTCATATGGCATAGTATATGAAAACCAGAATGAGCACATCATTTACTTACAATCGTAACTTGCAGGAAATTAATTTGCTTTTGATGTGGGATTATCCTTTCAGATTGAGGAAGAAAATGATCATTTAAATTGACTTATTCACCTCTGAAAGTGGAGGCTTTCATTTAGAAATCTATTAAGAGGAATTCATGTATTCTCTCCTCCAGCCCCATGGGTTTCCAAGTAATTTAGAGATGATTTATTGGTTTTACTTTTGTATTTTCAAGTTTAAGAATTTCTTAGTGCCTTAGAATAAAAAACTTTTGGATCTATGATAGTTTGCGCTGCTTAGTATCTGGATAGGTGTGTGTTTTCATGATTTAATGGTTACATAGATTTTTGCTACATCTCAGATATGCTATTTTCTACCAGATTTTTTGAGGGCATAATATCTTTTCTTTATACCCAAATATTTCTCTAGCTCTTGTCTCCTTATTCGTCTTTATTAAAAGATGCTTCTTGGTGCTTATGGTGTATTAGGTACTTCTGTTAAACACTGGAGAGTCAAGACAGTTCTGCAGGGAAGAGATCAGTAAGCAAGTAATTATACTGTGGAGGGGAAATAAGAAAGAGGTGTACCAGTAAATACACCTACAAGTAAATAACTTGTAAGTAATAATTGCAAGTAGGTTTGCTTCTTCTGAAATTTTGCAGTTTTATCAATCAAGTTCTTACTCTTTGTGGGGACACAGAGTGGCTGGCGGGGGGGGGACTCCTAACCTAGCAGTGTGTGTGTTTTGTGTGTTGGGGGAGAGGATTGTCAGTAAACCCTTCTTGAGAAGGAAGGACCTGCCAGTTGTAAGACAGAGTAGGGCAGCTTTTAAGTAGAGTGTGGCAGCATAGAAACTGGCTTTGAAAAGGGGGAGGCAATTAGATTTCAAGGGGTTGCTGCTCCTCCTGAAAAGCCTGTGTCTTGAGTAGGTGAGCAATAGTGAGATAGGGTTTTGGAGGGTCACTGCAAGAGGTTGCCATAAGACAGGCGAGCAATAGTGAGATAGGCTTTTGGAAGGTCACTGCAAGAGGCTGCCATAAGACAGGAGATGAGGTATCAAGCAGGAGACACTTCTGTGTACTGCACCAGTTTCCAGGAAGATTGGTATATCTAACAATTTGGATATTCTGATTTGGATATTCTGATCATCATTCTTTCCTTCTTCTTTCAGTGGTAATTTGCAAGGCAAGTTAAAATGTCTCCAGAAGTGGCCTTGAACCGAATTTCTCCAATGCTCTCCCCGTTCATATCTAGCGTGGTCCGTAATGGGAAAGTGGGACTGGATGCTACAAACTGTTTGAGGATAACTGACTTGAAATCGGGGTATGTACCAGAACCAATTCATCCATTTCCTCATAACAGACCTTTCTTACCAGGCTTGTAAAAGTTGAACACCACAGAAATTCATCAAGTCATGCCCTTATCATTTGTTCAATTGGTTTTGTCCAGTTCTTGACATTTTATGTTTTAGGTTATTTAGTTGTGCTGTGGGCCATTGCTTCATGATCAGAATGGTGTGTGTGTGTGTATGATTAAGGCATACCTGTTTGTTAACAGTGTGCTATGTGGTTTTTAGCTAGTGTGTTTTTCATCATTGACTTGTTTTCTTGTTCTGTGTTCTGCAATTCAGTATGCACTGTAAGAGCTGGGATTTGAGATTGTGAATCTGACATTGTTTGATAGTCTCTCCTAATAGGAAAATTATAATTGCTAGCCCAAAATGAGTCATTTTTCACAATGAAGTTGAAACAGTAATATTTCATGCCTAAAAATGTTGCATTAAAAAAACTCAACTTTTTATTTTGAAATAGATTTACTTAAAGAATAATTACAAAAATGCTACAGAAAATTAATGCTGTTACATGCTGATAATTGTTCTATAAGTCTTATTTGAATTTTACCAGTTTTCCTGTTAATGTTGTTTTTTAGTCCAGAATCCAATCCATGATACAGATTGCATTTAGTTGTCATGTCTACCTTATCTTCCAAATCTGTGACAGTTCTTGTCTTTCATTGTCTTCCATGGTTTTGAAGCTTTTAAAGGTAGCATTGGTTAGTTACTTTGTAAAATATTGCTCAATGTGGGTTTGTCTAATGTTTTCCCTTTATCAGAGTGAGAACTACTCACTCTGATACCCGCCCTCGGTGTTACAGAAGGGATGTATGATTTTCAGTACATCATTAAGATTGTGTGTATCAGGTTTTGCCACTGTGAAACTGATTTTCCCTTTGTAATTAGTAAGTACATTGTGCAGTGTGTTTGACATTGTGCAGATGTTCTGTTTCTCATCTTACTTTTGTCCATTAATTTCAACCTCCATTAATGGTTCTTGCCTACAATAATTGTTACTGTGGTTCTTGGATAAGAGTGATTTTTAATTTCCCTTTTCTTCCTACACTTAGTCATTTAATTCTTCTATAAAGAAGCATTACCCCTTCCCTGCCAATTATTTATTTGTTTATTTATATCATTATGAATTTTGAGGAATTTATTTTATTTGAGTTGTAATTCTCAATGAACTGTGTTCACTTATTTTATTTTTTTGCTCGGTTGTTCTAGCCTTTATCATTGGGAGCTCTGTCAAGTTGTCTTTTGAGCATATCCCTATCATTTTTCAAACATTTTCTTTCTAGAGATACTACATTCTTGATTAGTTCTTCTTTTAAAAGCTCTTTTATTTTTACTTTCTACAAAACTTGCTATTTTCTGACTAAGCTGAAGACCTGGATAAAACTGGTAAGATAGAGAAGACTAGGTTAGTTGGACATTTCGTTGGAATGGTAGGATGCTTTTTAAGTAATCATTGGGTATGGGTTTCTTTTTGAGGTGATGAAAATGTTCTAAAATTAGTGGTAATGGTTACACGACTCTCTAAATATACTAAAAATGACTGATTTGTGCACCTGTAAAGGTGAATTTTATGGTTTGTGAATTCTCTCTCATTAAAGTTGTCACTAAAAAGACAAACCTGTGTACCCAGGTTATTTACTGGCTTGAAAGGACAGGACATGGGAAAAGATCTTCCTTCTCCAGTTTGTCACAAATACTCTCCTCAGAGATATTGAAGACGTGACAGGACTGATGGCAGAGGACTGGGAACTGGTTTATGTAAGATGATGTAAACACATAAACCTGAACTTCTTACTCTTTTGTTGGTATCCTGAGAGAACAGTTGGATTCATCCAGATAAAGTCACTTTACTTCTTCTTTGCAGACTTCCTCTTGGGTACTCCCAAATTCCTGAATGTTTAGTTGAGTGTTCAGGTGCAAATAGTGGATCTGATGATTAATTTGAAATGAATCGACTAGACCTGGCCCTGTCTGGACTAACTCTGTGAAAAATACTGGAAAGGGTGTTTAATGACTTGTAGTATTTATGGAGTTTACTTTAGATTTAGAAAAGAAATAAAATTATCTCTACCTACATTAACAAACCCACTACAGATAAAATGATGTGAAAAGCCTCATTAATCTAGAGCATTATTGATGCCTTTTATGTAGTATTTAACTGAAAGATTCATGAAAGTTCTTTTGAAGCTCATTAACAATTCTTTCCTCAGTGTTTCAACCAAAGTATGAATTCCAGAAGTTTCTATAGCAAAACAATGACAGAGTTAGAGAAAATTTTTTTTTTTTGGTGTGTTGCTTTTGGCTTTTCCCTTTCTTTTAGACCAGCAGCCATCTGGTGGCTCAAACAAATGGTAAAGAATCTACCTGCAATGCAGGCGATCTGGGTTCAATCCTTGTGTCTGGAAGATCCCCCGGAAAAGAAGATGGCTGCTCCCTCCAGTATTCTTGCCTGGAGAATTCCATAGACAGAGGAGCCTGGAGGGCTAGAGTCCATGGGGTCACAAAGAGTCGGACGTGACTGAGTGACAGACACTTTCACTTTTCAGTCCGTTATGAGAATTGGGATCCATGTTTGGAATTTCTCTTAACTCAAATGTTTAAAATGAGGAGACTGATTTTTATAGATCACAGGAGCCAGTATTGTTACCATATATAGCTACTTGTCCTTGAAGAGATGAGGTACCAGGGTTTCTGTATTCTAGGTCTGACTCACAGAAGGACTAGATAGGCAAGAACCTATGCAAAGTAAGTTGTTTTTTTTTAAATAGCAATTCACTTTTATTTCTCTTATGGCAACTAAATCTCTCTAACTTATGTAAGATTATGTGTGTTTCCAAACTCCATTGCTAGGCTGTCAGTATCAAGGACAGGATTCTTGTTTAAAATGTTTTTATGCCTCTGTATAAAAACAAAAAATATTTTTATGCCTTGAGAAACCTGTATGCAGATCAGGAAGCAACAGTTAGAACTGGACGTGGAGCAACAGACTGGTTCCAAATAGGAAAAGGAGTATGTCAAGGCTGTGTATTGTCACCCTGCTTATTTAACTTATATGCAGAGTACATCATGAGAAACACTGGGCTGGAGGAAGCACAAGCTGGAATCAAGATTGCCGGGAAAAATATCAATAACCTCAGATATGCAGATGACACCACCCTTATGGCAGAAAGTGAAGAAGAACTAGAGAGCCTCTTGATGAAAGTGAAGGAGGAGAGGGAAAAAGTTGGCTTAAAGCTCAACATTCAGAAAACTAAGATCATGGCATCCGGTCCCATCACTTCATGGCAAATAGATGGAGAAACAGTGGAAACCATGAGCGACTTTATTTTTCTGGGCTTCAAAATCACTGCAGATGGTGATTGCAGCCATGAAATTAAAACACACTTACTCCTTGGAAGGAAAGTTATGACCAACCTAGACAGCATATTCAAAAGCAGAGACATTACTTTGTCAAAAAAGGTCCGTCTACTCAAGGCTATGGTTTTTCCAGTGGTCATGTATGGATGTGAGAGTTGGACTATAAACAAAAGCTGAGCACAGAAGAATTGATGCTTTTGAACTGTGGTGTTGGAGAAGACTCTTGAGAGTCCCTTGGACTGCAAGGAGATCCAACCAGTCCACCCTAAAGGAGATAAGTCCTGGGTGTTCATTGGAAGGACTGATGTTGAAGCTGAAACTCCAATACTTTGGCCACCTGATGGGAAGAGCTGACTCATTTGAAAAGACCCTGATGCTGGGAAAGATTGAGGGCAGGAGAAAGGGACGACAGAGGATGAGATGGTTGGATGGCATCCCCGACTCAATGGACATGGGTTTGGGTGGACTCCGGGAGTTGGTGATGGACAGGGAGGCCTGACGTGCTGCAGTTCGTGGGGTTGCAAAGAGTCAGACACAACTGAGCGACTGAACTGAACTGAACTGAATGCCTCTGTCAGTTCTACCATGGTGTCTTTCTAATGTAGTAAGTAAAGGTTGAATGAATGAATGCATTAGCCGTTTTCCCAGAGAAGTTGCTCTGTTTGGGGATCAGAGTAGTTTGGACTTGGGATTCAGAACATGTTCGTTGGTCTGAGAGTTGATCGCTTAAATTCTGTTATGCATAATCCTTTTAAATGACATTCCCTGACAAATGAGTTGGTTTTAGAGCTTACAGTCAAGTGTGTTACAGTACTGGGCTTACTCTTCTAGGTGAAATTTATATTGAGACCTGGAGGGGCTGAATTTTTAATGTTAGGGAATTATTCCATGAGCCTACTGAACGTTTATTAGCTCTCTACCCTATGTTAATTTGATCACAAGCATGTGTTATTTGTAAGATGCCATATTTCGTCTTTTTTTAGTGATTTACTAATCTCGAAGATGTCTAAGTGTTCCACATCCTGGAATGATGCCTGAGAGGAAAGCAGGGGAGGACTCACTGCAACCTGTGGCAGCTGAGCCTTAATATCTTTTTTCAGCACATCACAGTGACTCAACCTTACTGGCACATGGCTGTGTTTGGGGCATCTGCTATGACATCTCATCCACCCACAACTACCTGTTGCATTTTTTGGGTCCATGTTCTGAATTTCATTACTTAGTTAAAAATAGATACTCAGTGTAGTTGATTACTAAATGGAACAGTTTTGAAAGATGAGTGCTGTTGGCTTTGAAGACTCATCTCAGATTGGCTGCTTTAGTCTCTGGCTGGCAGGCTGAGCCTCTGTCTTCAGCCTCGTGTCTAGAAGGGAGTTGCTGCCCTGAGAAAGTGTTAGTTGCTTGGTCGTGTCTAACTCTTTGCGACCTCCAGGTTCCTCTGTCCATGGAATTCTCCAGGCAAGAATACTGAAGTGGGTAGCCATTCCCTCCTCCAGGGGATCTTGCCAACCCAGGGATTGAACCCAGTTCTCCTGCATTGCAGGCTGATTCTTTACCATCTGAGCCACCAGGGAAGCTTCCCTGAGAGGCAATAGTTTAATTTTGAAGATGGGCA